TTTTTTTTTTTTTTTTTTTTTTTTTCTTTTTTTTTTTTATGAAAATAAAAAAGTTATTGTTGTAATGTCCCTTTTTTTTTTTTTTAGCTTTTTTTGGTGTAGTTTCGCTATTTTGCGAAGAAAAAGAACAGAGAAGCAAAAAAACTACCCGACGCATCCGCTAGTCAACGGTCGGGAACTACACGCGCATCGGCGCCGCCCCGCGCGCCGGACCGGCCGACGTGTCGGCGCTGCGCCGCCGGCTCGAGCAGGTGAGTCTCCAGACGGGCGCGGCGGCGGCGCCGTACGCGCCGAGCAGCGTCTACTCGACCGGCACGGGCGTTGCGGGGGAGCCGCGGGCGAGGTCGACGAGGAGGAGGGGCTCCGCGGCCGGGGACGAGTTGGCCGGTCGCCGGAACCACTTCCGCCGGCGCCTGCGTCGCGCCGGCGGACCGTGTCGGAGATCAGCGAGGCGACGGAGGGGACTGTGTTTGACATGTTCATCCGGCATCATGATGAGGTGCGGCCGGGGGACTCCATCTCCACGGTGGGCGGGAGTGGGCGTCGGGCGGGGGGGCTTGGGGGGTTGACACGGGGTGGAAGCTGAGGCGTTTTGCTTTGCGGTTGATCGAGTGCTGTTGTGCTTGGTGTGTGAGATTGTCGCTACTGGCTGGTTGACTTTGACAGTTGTTCCGATGTAGCTTGGAAACATGAGCAGGTCTCGTGCTGTAGAAATGGGAGAAAAGGGGGGGATAAGGAAAACAATTGAAAATGTCTGGGGACTTTGAGCCGCCATGCCTGACCATGGTGAGCAATATCAGGTGATCATGGTTGGTCGCATCGGTCAAGTCATAATGAGAACCTGGGCCGGCCCTTGGCCATGGCCATCAAAGTTCTTCTCCTGTAGTGTCTACATGTTCAAGCTGGTGAGTGCTGGCTATGCTCCCTGCTATTGCCTCTGCGTGAGCCCCCGAGACTCTGATGATGATGACGATAGCGACGTAGCACGTCGGCCCGCAGCTATAAACTGTCGGTCCTCTGGAATTGAGGCTAGTTTGCCAAAGGCCAAAGCGATGGATAAATCCGACAGGGGAATCCTGGTGGCTTGTTCTGGATGGAACTCCGCCCAGTGGTATAACCGCAGGAACCAACTATCGTCACGTCAATCACACAATTCGGACAATCGTCGGCCCCAAGCCAAAATGGCATGGATCGCGAATAATACCTCAGCAGCAACCACTCTTGTCACATGCGATGAAGTTCGTCAGCAGCAACCACTCTTGTCACAGCGATGAAGTTCGTCAGCAGCAACCACTCTTGTCACAGCGATGAAGTTCGTCAGCAGCAACCACTCTTGTCACAGCGATGAAATTCGTCAGCAGCAACCACTCTTGTCACATGCGATGAATTCGTCAGCTAGAAAGCCAGATGATGGCAAAGGTCGTTGTGCGTTGTGCCTCGTGCCTCGTGCCTCGTGCCGTGGTACGGCGGAGGAGCAAGGTCGGAAGGGGGCTCCGTGGCTGCCGAATCACAGGCGTTCCTCGTCGGAAGGCACCTGGCCACGGAGCCCCTGCGACGGGCCCGACGGGCCAATGACGGGCGTCACGGGCCAATGGCGGGCGTCACGACTTTTCTTGCATCGGGCCCTAACCCTAACCCTCTCCATGGCCCGTCTGCTGTCGCCCCTCGTCGGCCCCTCGTCTGCTGTAGCCCCTTGGAACCATGGAACTACGGCCCCCGCGAAACGACATCTCTACGCACTAGAGGCGACATCTCTACGCACTAGAGGCGACATCTCTACTGGACTGTGCCTTGGCTTGTCAGACACGAGTCGCTCTCCCAACCTCCGGGCCTTCTTTCATAAGAGTGCCGGACGCCCTCCATGTCACTGTTCCGAAGCACACCATCTCGACATCATCTCATCAACAGGAACTTCAGACAAAGCCCTGTAACCTTGGCATCTTCACTATTCACACCATCACTGAAGCAAGCCATCTCCAAAATGTCCTCAGATAAGGTCCCCGAGGCACCCCCGCGCAACCCACACGGCGACTTCAAAGCCGTCGAGGCCGCGCGCCCCGACTTTGACACCTCGGCCTCCTTCCACTACACCAAGACGCCGGCCCCGGGCTGGCAGTACGGCGACGGCGCCAACACGTCCTCGTCCGCCTCCCACGTCGCCATCGACCCCCACGCCGCCGGCCGCCCCGCCGGCTTCAACTACAAGTTCCTCATCTCCGCCATCACGCCGCGGCCCATCGCCTTCCTGTCGACGCGGGCCCACGACGGCAGCGAGAACCTCGCGCCCTTCAGCTACTTCAACATGATCAACCACGACCCGCCGCTCTTCAGCGTCGGCTTCTCCAGCAGCCTCGCCGCGCCCAAGGACTCGCTGCGCAACCTCGTCGACACGGAGCGCGTCGTCATCAACATCATCTCCGAGCCCTTCCTCGAGGCCGCCAACGCCACCTCCATCAACGCCCCGCACGGCCTCTCCGAGTGGCACGTCGCCGGCCTGACGCCCCTGCGCGACACGGACAACGGCGTCGCCCGCGTCGGCGAGGCCGTCGTCGCCATCGAGGGCACCCTCGTCTTCACCAAGGAGTGGGCCAGCAGGGCCACGCCCGGCAAGACGTCGGGCACCCTCGCCGTCATCGAGGGCACCAAGTTCTGGGCCCGCGCCGACGCCGTCAACGAGGAGCGCAACCTCGTCGACCCCGACGTGCTGCGGTCTGTGGGCCGCCTCGGCGGCATCACCTACAGCCGCACGCTGGCGGCCATCGAGCTGACGAGGCCCGACTTTGACCAGACGCTGGGGCGGGAGGGCTATGAGAA